CCAAGCTGAACTGCATTCCCCCCGCCCCCGAGCGCGGTATAAATAGGGCCCCCGGACGGAACTGGCAACGGCAACAGCCAATCCCCTGGCGGCTCTTACCTCTGCGGCCAATCTGGACGAGAAGGAGGTGTGGTGGGGCCGGCAACGCCTCCCGCACGCCTAGTACTAGAGAGCTGTCCTCGGCGAGCAGGACCGAGCAGGCGGGTCCGAGGGAGGCGGAAGTGGACGCGCATGCGCAGGGCTCGGACAGGGGCTGCGGACCCGCGCGGGAGGGTCGCTCCCGAGGCGCCGCGGGACCACCACTCCCAGCATCCTCGGCGGCTGCCCGCGCCTGCGCCGTTTGCCCCCGCCGTCCCTTTGTGTCGCCTCTCGGAGCTGAGTTTGGAATGGCCTGGAGACAAAGGGGCCCCCGAGGGGTGCTCTGTGCAGCTCGGAGGTCTACGGAGGGCGGGTTGGCGGGAGCAGCTTCCCGATCTTAGCCCTTGCCCTGCCGCACCCGAGGCTGCCCGGGTCCTCCCCGTACTGAGGAGGCTGCGGGCACCCCGGGCGCACGCCCGCAGGTTAGCGCAGCCTTCGGATCCCCATCCCGCCCTTCCCCCACGGCCCCGGATTTAGGGCTTCTGAAAAGCCCGGGCCGAGCGAGTGGTTGCCTAGGCGACGGGCTCCGGAGGTCCCGCCCCCTTCCGGTTTAGGTACCGCCCCGGGGCGGAGTCTGGCCTGCGATCGCCGAATTTCGCGCCTTTGCTTTGCTGCCTTCCCCTCTAGAGTCCCGGTTCCTCAGTCTTGCTCTGCTGCCTGGGCGGCGCTCCCGGGTCCTTCCGCCGCTGTGTCCTCGTGTGCCAAGTGCTGATGACCGCTCTCCGCCTCGCCTGTTGGAATGTCGCCGCGGCGCCAGGTCAGCTCACTGTCTTCAGCCTCCTCCGGCATGCTCGGTGTTGTATTTCAGCCTCCAGAATTCGTCCTCCGGCAGAACAGAACTCACCCCTTCAGACCTAGAAGATGTAGTTTGGAAGGGTTTGGAACGACTCTTGAAACACGGTGACATCCTAACCCCCTCGGCACGTGTGAAAGTACTCAGTGCGCCCTCGTGACATCCACACTTCCACGCAGTTCTCTACAATAGAGTGTCGACGGGGGCGGCGGCGCTCGTTGCAGCGATCGGTCATAGGAATGTCAGTGCAGCAAGAAACATTCAGTTCAGCTGTGTTCTTTCTGAGTTAGATCGTTCAGACTGGGACGTTGCTGTGGGTGTGCACCTTGAAGCACAGGGCGTGCGTTTTCAGCAGGCGAACGTCACTTGGATGTCCTGTGGTGTTTTTTTTTTTTACTAACATCCAACTGCTTTCAGTCCTAGCCAGAAACAGAAGAATGGAGTTTCAGTTTCACCTAGTTGCCAGAAGAAAATATTTGTCCACTAGTCTGCACCAAAGCTAACAATATGGCTTGGGAACACGACGTGGAATAAAGCGTGGACAGGGGTCCAGAACTGAATATGAAAAGTGGGCTTTTTCCTTAGGTCATGTAAGCAGTTTAAAGGCACAGTAGCAATTAAGAGACAGTTATCTTAATCTCAGCGCTATCTAAGTTTAATAAAGATTAGGTATAACTGACTCTTTCCCAAGATAACCAAGCCAGAGTTTGAACCCGGTTAAGTTCACAATACTCTTAATCCATTTTGTTGCTCATTGAATTCATAGACACAAACCCAAAGACATCTTGTTTACCTGACCAGAATTATTTCACAAGTGCCTACCACATGCTAACTACAATGTTCTGGGAATACTGAGTATGTTCACCTCTTTGAGGTAAAACATTTTTTATTTTTTTAATTGGCTTTATAAAGTGGCTTTCTGAGCAAGCTCAGAAGATCAATAGATAAAATGTAGTTTAACTATAACCAAGCATTTTAAGTAGACTGTATAGAAAATTAAAGGTTGGGAGATGGCTGAGTTAACTTGATCTCAAACCCTTGAACCCATATGGTGGAGTGGCAGAACCCGTCAGGAGAGCTGGTCCTCAATTCTCCGCAACTTATCCCTTGTTCCCTCCACATACACACTAAATTAATAAATACAGTCTTTAAGAAAAACCTCTTCCTGGGAAGCAGAGACTGGGGAGGCAATGACCACGGGTCCAGAGAGAGAATCTGGCAAGACACGTTTGAGAGGCTCCTTGAGGCTCTGGTTGGAGGTGTTCCCTGAGTGAGGCTCCTGGGACAAAGGGCACCCTCCTGCTAAATGCCAATTTCCCATTCTTACTTCAACTAGCCTGAGCTAGGCTTCCATTCCCAGTCCAAGCCTGTGGCTATGTGCAACCTTTTTCGTTTTAAAAGAAACAAGCCTAGGGTCAGCAAGATGACTTAGCCAGAAAAGGTGCTTGCCATCAAGTCTGACAACCTGAGCTCCCTCCCTGTGACCCCACCTTGTAGAAGGAAGCTCCTCCAAGCTTTGGACTGCCTCACTTTTGCTGTGGCGTACACATATATATATATACAAATAAATGTTTTTTTTTCTTTTTGGTTTTTCAAGACACGGTTTCTCTGTGTAGCTTTGGAGCCTATCCTGGAACCCGCACTGTAGACTACTTACAGAGATCCACCTGCCTCTGTTGGGATTAAAGGCGTGCGCCACCACCATCCAGCTTAGAACTGTTATTTTAAATATTCACTCTAGTTCTTTGAGTTCTGCATTCCAACCTTTGTTTTCTGTTTTTTTGACAGACACATCTTTTTTTTTTAAGATTATTTATTTATTATGTATACAATGGTCTGCCTGCATGTGTCCCTGCAGACAGAAGTTGGCACCAGATCTTATTACTGGTGGTTGTGAGCCACCATATGGTTGCTGGGAATTGAACTCAGGATCTCTGGAAGAGCAGTCAATGCTCTTAGCCACTGAGCCATCTCTCCAGCCCCTTGACAGGCACATCTTGTATCAGAGTAAAAGCTTTCTCTAGCAGGTCTTTAACTACCTGCACAGGAAGAGTTTTTGAGGGACTTTCTCAGGCCAAGCTCTTTGATGAATTTGCAGGATAGGGCAAGGAGGTCAGGAGTTTACATTAAATACTCAGGGAGTGGTGCCCCAAACCCAGGGAGACGGGGGGGGGGGGTTGTTTAAGGCAAGTAAGCTAGTAAGATTTACAATCTGGGCTACTGAGTGAAACCATATCTCAGCAACTGAGGTAGGTGGGTGGGGAAAGGGAATCGTGTATTGCTATGAGAACGAGACAAATGCACACACGTGCAATGACAAAATGACATGAAGGCAGGTGGCCGTGAGGAAGAATAATATTCCGGGAGAACTTGGGACGTTTGGGGACCACAGATGACCACCATAAGGTACAGAGCACAGTCTACATGGTAGTTTAGCTTCAAGCAGGCAATGAGGGTCCAGAATCGTCAGGAGAAAAGTTCTCCAGGAACACAGCTGCTTAATCATTTGCCTTTCAGGAGAGCACCTAAACAGTGAAAACCAAGACTGAGAGAGCAGAGGCTGCTCAGTGTCCTAAGGACCAAACAAACAAAGGGGACCTAACTCAGGACAGTTCTCAGGAGACGGGCGATAGAACGTTTCATTACGTTTCGATTGCTTTCTAAGGCAGGATCTCATATGGGGAGGCTGGTCTTGAATTTGATGCTCCTGCATCCCCCTCCCAAAAGCTTTGATTTCAGATAGACACCACCAGTGTGGCTCTTAAAAAACTTTTAATCAATTTATTCTTATGTGAATGGGTATTTTGCACGCATGCCTGTTTGTGGACAATGCGTGCAGTGCCTACTGAGTCCAGAAGAGACATTGGCCCCTCTGAAACTGGGATTACAGACTAGAGTAGCCGAGTGGGTGCTAGCACTCAAACCTGGGTCCTCTGGAAGAGCAGCCATCTCTCCAGCAGACATTTCCAGTTACATATACTCGAACAGATCCATTTCCTGGCGTTGTTCTTTCATCCTAAGGCCACGGGACAGTGTGAAGTACACAAATACTGTGTGGACGGAGTGCAGGCATGTCTGGGGATGTAGTGTTGGTCTACATGTGTCAAGTGTGGCAAGGTGCATGCTGTGTGTATGTTGGGGTACAGTGTGTGTTAAAGTGTGTTTGAGTGTAGACACGATGAGTGCACGCTGGGGTGCATAGTATTTCTGGAGTAGCAGTGTGTTGGAGTGTCGGGTTGAGATACACACGTCTTGTACACAATGTTGCGGTGCACACCAGGTCTCAGCAGCAGGCACAACGATGTACACAGGGACCAATCTATCCATAAGGACGAGCTGTGAGGCCTGCGCTATAAAGGGGAAGGGCAGAGGGGTCCTGTTTCTCTCTGCGGTCAACACGCCACTGCACAGCTGGATTCACCGCCAGACTCCAGCCGGAGAGTATTCTCTTCCGGGAGTGGGCGGAGTCCTGTGGGGACTCGGGCGTGGCTTCTGGGTCTCCGGGCGGGGCTTGTTTTCGTGGGCGGGGCGGGGCCTGGCCTGCGGAACTGCCTTGTGCCTGGTTCACTAGTGTACCCCGACATGCTGCGGGCGCGCGGGCCTGGGCCGGGCTCTCTGCTGCTCCGGGAGGCGCTGGCTCTCGGGCGGCGTGGGCGAACGTGGCAGCGGCCGCAAGGCCAGGACACCGGCGTGCAGGTGCACAACAGCCTCACCGGCAAGAAGGAGCCGCTGATCGTGGCCCGCACGGACGCCGTCTCCTGGTGCGTGCGCCGGCGGGGCGGGGCGTGAGGGTCTGCAGGGGCGAGTCCGCCCTGAAACCCGCAGGTGTGGTCCCCCCTCCCAGCGGTCACCGAAACACCGTGTGTGCGTGTGTGCGCGTGTGTGATGATTGTTATCGAGGGCTTAGAGCTCTTTTTTGCAGATATCTCACATGGTGGGTCTTAATATATTCCCAGGTACAGTTGTGGACCGACTGTGTACGACCATGCACACCTTGGCCATGCTTGGTGAGTTTCCTCATTTGAACTTGGTGATAAAGTCAGAGGGTCATTTATTGTGGAAAGGGTAAATTGTTAGCTTGTATTATTATTATTTTTTTATCTGTTAAGTGAACCGAGTAGTGACTGAATTCTGGGAATTGTGAGACCTCAAATTGTTACTCTCGTTTAGTGTTTGCAGCTGTTTTTGGTTATATACTCAGTGCTCAGGTCTGGACACTCAGAGAGTTGGTGTGGAGGAACGCAGAGTGATTTAGATGTTTCTAAGGTTGGTCCAGGGAACCAAATCCAACCATGGGGCATCATCGCCTGGCTTTGAATGGGTCACTTGCTGGAGTCCTGGTTCTTGCTTTGAGTCAAGACAGAAATGATAATAGCTCAGTGTTTGGAATCTTCATGGCAGCTTCACTAAATAGTATAGATGAAGTACCACATAACACGGTACTCGTGTGACTTGTTTCTCCTTAGCCGTGACAGACTGTGGTAGTGTATAGGGCTGCACTCCTGGGAAGCACTGGAGCTGGGAGGAAGTTCTGCGTTTGTTGACATTCCCCGTTTCCTAATATCTTGTTTGTTGTCTTGTACATTTTTACTTGGGCAGTTTTAGACCTAAATTAAACACAAGTGTGAAGCCCGAGGACAGCCTCAGATGTCATCGTCAGGTGCTGTCCCCTGTCTGTTTTGAAGTAGAATCTCTCAGTGGCTTGGAACTCCACAAGCAGGCCAAGCTGGCTGGCCAGTGAGTCCCAGGGATCATCTCCCTGTCTGTCTCCCTTGCGCTTGAATAATATGGAAAAGCCTGATTCTCGAGCATGAATGAGAACAGTAAAAAGCTCTTGTCATTTGACCGTTGGTTAATGTTGTATTATGGGAGTTTATATACCTTTAGATAGATGCAAACTCACCCAACAGCTCTAAACATAAAAACAGCAGTGCCTTATCCTGGAATTGATGCAACTGCTTGGGTTTTTTTTTTTTTTAAGATTTATTTATTTATTATGTATCCAGTGTTCTGCCTGCATGAATGCCTGCAGGCCAGAAGAGGACGCCAGATCTCATTATGGATGGTTGTGAGCCACCATGTGGTTGCTAGGAATTGAATTCAGGTCCTGGGAATTGAACTCGGCCATCTCTCCAGCCCCTTTTGGTGGCTTCTTGCAAGAACCCTTCTGGGCCACCAGGTGGGACTCAGTTTGTAAAGAAGTACTTGAATTCGTTCCCTATGAACCAATTATCTACTGTAGAACACAGCTTGGAAGTTACATAGTGGTGCTAAATTATTACACGTTCCTTTTCAAGAATAACAATCATGGGGCTGGCAAAGATGGCTCACTGGGTAAAGGCACCTCCAGTACAAGCCTGGTGACCTGAGTTTGATCCCCAGGATTCATGGTAAAAGGAGAGCATTGAGTCCCACAAACTTCCTCTGACCTCCCTCTGCATGCATGCTGCTGTAGTATGTGCACACATACACACACACACATACTACATACACACACAATAATAATAAAACTGGTGACTGGAGAGACGACTTAGCACTTCAGAGGACTTGTTGTTTGTGGAGGACCTGGGTCCAGTTCCCAGCACCCCCATGGTGACTCACAACCGTTCTGTATATTATCTAATTTCAGGGGCTCTGACACCCTCTTTTGACCTCGTTAGGCACCAAATAAAGATATGGTGCACATGCATCCGTGCAGGCAAAACACGTGAACATGAAATAAAACAAATGAGTCAGACATAAAACAATTTTAAGTTAAAAATGGAGTAGCAACGTTGATTCTGTGTGGAAGACAAGCCAACAGTTTTTCTCTTTCAGCTCATACGTTAGGTTTGACATTATCCGAAGGATCCTGACCAAGGTGTTTGGGTGCAATGTGATCATGGCGATGAGCGTCACTGACGTGGATGATAAAATAATCAGGAGAGCTAACGAGGTGAGCATAGCAACTTCGCCGTGATTGACAGGCTGGCAGCTGTGTGGCAGCTCTTTGCTAGTCGTATCTTTATGTATTTCTTTTATTCCAATTTATTTATCCTTTTATTTTACTTGCATTGGTGTTTTGCCTGTGTGCATATTGTATGTCTGTGCAAAGGTGTCAGATCTTGGGGTCACAGACAGTTGTGAGCTACCATGTGGGTGCTGGAACTTGAACCCTGGTCCTCTGGAAGAGCAGACAGTGCTCTAACCACTGAACCATCTCTCCAGCCACCTCCCTTCCCTTTTGAGACAGGGTTTCTCTGTGTAGCCCTGGCTGTCCTGAAACTCACTCTGTAGACCAGGCTGACCTCGAACTCACAGAGATCCACCTGCCTCTGCCTTCCAGGTGCTGGGCTTAAAGGCGTGCACCACCACTGCCTGGTGTATGCTATGCTATGTTGTGAAAAATCACAGTGTCTCCGTGATTCAAGCCAGAGACACTTTTCTCTGACCCAGGGCACTAACTTGCATGTCTGGCTTCCTGGGAAGATGGTGGGGTGTGCTGAAGGCCAGGGGTTCAGCTGGAGTGCCGAAGGCCTGATCCGCTGACTCCCCGCGAAGGAGAGGATGGCTAACTTGGATTGACTCACATGATAAGGCCTGGAATAGCAAGGACTAGGGTTTTTGACACTTGGCCTGTGTAGGTTGTTTCATGGTGAGTGTCCCAGTGTGCCCTGTGACCAGCCACTAGGGAATGAAATGTAACTGTCTGACTTTGAGAGTGTGTTCCCTTGAGTAGAGGATCCAGAAGGGAGTAGCTCAACCAGATGTTTAGACATATTTAAAAAGCTATAGATAGATAGTTCTTTGTTTATCTATGAATGTGTATGCATATAAATACATGTATGTGTGAGTGTGTGTATGTATCTGTATGTGTTGTGTACTTGCTTTCTCTGGGCCAGACAAGCATTGTGAATCAGAGCAGTTGTGGTCTCCCTGACTCTCTCCCAGGGGAGGAGGGAGGCCCTCACATCTCATGAGATCGGCAGGAGGCCTCTCACCCTGACACTGGAGAGTGAAGTGAGATTCTCTGTCACTTAGTTGCCTTTGGGTCACCCATGCTTCTGTTGGGCACCCCATGAACTCACTGACTCACCACGGACTTGGATGGAATCCTTCCTTTGGTCCATACCTGCTCCATGTTCCCTTCCATCTATCTCCCCAGTAAAAGTCACATGGCACTGTGTGTGTGTGTATGTATGCGTATACGCAGGACTCATCTATGGCAGGTTGTATGCATTATACGAAGGCTGACAGCTTGGTGGGAATTAAGGTATCTGTGCCCTTCTCCCTAGAGTATCCTTTGTCCCTCCTCCCATTCCCTGACAGCTCCTGCTCTACCCTCTTCCCGAGAAAGAACTACAGAGGCCAGAAGTACACATAATAATTAATGGAATTTGTTTCATGATAAAGATGTCATTTCAAATCGCTAGGGTTGAACTATTTGGTCGATAGTGTTGACAGTTGGATAGCCATTTGGAGAAAATACAAACCCAAGTTAGAGTCATGCCTCACAGCCGACCTAAAGCAGATCAGAGATTAAATATAAGATGAGTGGAACCACAGATTCCTGGCAAAAGTCCCAGGATGTTTCTGTGACCTCCTTTGGGAAGGGTTTCTCAGTATGTTTCCAAGTGTAAATCCGTTTATGTAGACAGACTCAGAAATAGAAAAGATTGGAAAATATAAACCAGGTTTTCAGTGTTCTGTGAATAACCATGCTGTTAAAAAACTGAAAAGGAGGAACTGAAGAGATGACTCAGTGATTAAGAGCACTGTCCACTCTAGAGGATCAGGGTTCAATTCCCAGCACCCACATGTCAGCTCTACCATCTCTGACTCAGTTCTGGGTATTTGACGCCCTCTTCTGACCTCCTTGGGCATTGCGCACATGTGGTACACAGACATGTGTGAAGGCATAAAGAGAACTAATGTAAGATGAAAGCTATCAAGATCAAAATAAAAATGAATCTCAACAGAAGTAGATGTAGACATGTAGTACATGTAACATTAATGTAAAAACACTTCCTACAGTAAGTAGAAAAAAAAGATAATAAAAAAAAATGGGTTGGGGCATCTGGATATGTGGGATATATTGCAGTTTACTCATAATTTAAAAAGGTAAAAAACCGAGCTGGGCGTGACGGCATATGTTTTTAACCCCAGTACTTAGGAGGCAGAAGCAGGCAGATCTCTGTTTTCGAGGCCAACCTAGACCAGAGCGAGTTCCAGGACAGCTAGGACTATACAGAGAAACCCTGTCTCTAAAAATAAAACAAAACAAAAAATAGGAAGGAAGGAAAGAAGGAAGAAAGGAAAGAAAGAAAGAAGAAATAGGTAAAAGTTACAGCTGAAGGCATTTAGGTAGTGTGTGTTGACAAGATCTGAATGTGTGTTCTGTGCCTTACAATGGTCCCTGGACAAGGAGTGTGACTCCCAGGGGCACCGTGGACTCCGTGTCTTCAGCAGTGACACTGTGTTGTCCCAGCGGTCTCAGGAGGTGTGAAGCTCCTGGGCCACCCACCGTCTCCCTGAAGGCAGTCCTCCACGTGGTACTTTCTTGGGTGGCCACTACTTTAGAGTCCCGAGAGGAAAGTCAGCCACCGCTTCATACACACCACTGAGAAACCTGAGAGAGATTCTTGAAATCTCAGAGTAGAAATTTCTTAGCTCTTAGCCAGCTCTTTCTTTTAAATTTTTTTAAAAATTTATTCTTTGGGGCTGGAGAGATGGCTCAGAGGTTAAAAGCATTGCCTGGTCTTCCAAAGGTCCTGAGTTCAATTCCCAGCAACCACATGGTGGCTCACAACCATCTGTAATGGGGTCTGGTGCCCTCTTCTGGCCTGCAGGCATACACACAGACAGACTATTGTATGCATAATAAATAAATACATATTAAAAAAATTATTCTTTGACAATTTTATATATACACGTGTGTGTGCAAGCTCTTCCCCTTCAATGTTCTCTTGTTTTTGTTTTTATAACCCATTGGATTAATAGTGCTGCCCTGATGTGCATGCCACAGCCATGTGGAAAATTGACTTCCCCTATCCCAGCACCCATCATTTGTAGCTCTTCAGCTGGGGTGGAACCTCATTTGCCCCTCCCCCATCTGTTCTGGGATGATTGACAAGAACTCTGCTTCTGGGCTGGAAAGTCTGTGTCCCCTGCTGGGTCCCAGCACTAAGGGTCTGTTTGCCCAGATGCTCTGCTGTGGCCGCCTCCTCCAGGAGCTCGGTACAGCCCCAGCCTAAGGACGTCAGTACCAGTTCCCTGTTTAATGTGTCCTGTTACTTTCAAATACTTCTAGGCATTTTTCACCATTTCATCTTGCTGTAGGTGAGGGGATGGGTGAGATGGAAACTTATGTCTTGGTCTGTGGAGGAGGCGGCGGGTGTTGCACCATTTGTAGACAGGGAGGAGGGTTTGTATCTTGTCGCACGGTAGAAATGGTACCCAGCTTCTCTCTGTCCCCAGTGGACAAGGCCCATAAGCCTTTTAACTACTGAGCTTTAGGGTAGTTTAACACTTAAAATCAATGTTCCCTTCTTGGGGCTGAGCCCCCCTGGGGCGTGTGGTCACCATCTCGTCTGCAGGGTAGCTTAGTTTGCTGGGATGGGTGTGTGTGCAGGGGTAGCCTGGTCTGCTGGGATGG